ACCCCGGATATCCTCATTCCTAATCTTATCCTTTCTCGTGTGCCCACACATCCAACGAAGCATCCTCATCTCCGCTACACCCATTTTGTGTACGTGTTGATCCTTCACCACCCAACATTTTATGCCATACAGCATCGCCGGCCTTATTGCCGTCCTATAAAATTTTCCCTTGAGCTTCAGTGGCATACGGCGGTCACACAACACGCCGGATGCACTCTTCCACTTCATCCATCCAGCTTGTATTCTATGGTTGAGATCTCCATCTAATTCTCCGTTCTTTTGCAAGATAGATCCTAGGTAACGAAAACGGTCGCTCTTTGGTATTTCTTGATCTCCGATCCTCACCCCTAACTCGTTTTGGCCTCCATTTGCACTGAACTTGCACTCCATATATTCTGTCTTTGATCGGCTTAAGCGAAGACCTTTAGATTCCAACACTTCTCTCCAAAGGTTAAGCTTTGCATTTACCCCTTCCTGAGTTTCATCTATCAACACTATATCGTCTGCGAAAAGCATACACCAAGGAATATCATCTTGAATATGTCTTGTTAACTCATCCATTACCAACGCAAAAAGGTAAGGACTTAAGGATGAGCCTTGATGTAATCCTACAGTTATGAGAAAGCTTTCAGTTTGTCCTTCATGAGTTCTTACGGCAGTCTGTGCTCCTTCATACATATCCTTTATAGCTTGGATATATGCTACTCGTACTCCTTTGTTCTCTAAAATCCTCCAAAGAATGTCTCTTGGGACCCTATCATACGCTTTTTCCAAATCTATAAAGACCATGTGTAAATCCTTTTTCCCATCTCTATATCTTTCCATCAATCTTCGTAAGAGATAGATTGCCTCCATGGTTGAGCGCCCTGGCATGAACCCGAATTGGTTGTCCGAAACCCGTGTCTCTTGCCTCAATCTATGCTCAATGACTCTCTCCCAGAGCTTCATTGTATGACTCATTAGCTTAATACCCCTATAGTTCATGCAATTTTGTACGTCGCCCTTATTCTTATAGATAGGCACCAAAGTGCTTGTTCGCCACTCATTTGGCATCTTCTTCGTTTTCAAAATCCTATTGAAAAGGTCAGTGAGCCATGTTATACCTGTCTCTCCCAAAACTTTCCACACTTCGATTGGTATATCGTCTGGGCCTATTGCTTTTCTATGCTTCATCTTCTTCAAAGCTACAACCACTTCTTCCTTCCGGATTCGACGATAAAAAGAGTAGTTTCTGCACTCTTCTGAGTTACTCAACTCCCTTAAAGAAGCACTCATTTCATGTCCTTCATTGAAAAGATTATGAAAATAACTTCTCCATCTGTCTTTAACCGCGTTCTCTGTAGCAAGAACCTTTCCATCCTCATCCTTGATGCACCTCACTTGGTTTAGGTCCCTTGTCTTCTTTTCCCTTGTTCTAGCTAGTTTATAGATATCCAACTCTCCTTCTTTGGTATCTAGTCGTTTATACATATCGTCGTAAGCCGCTAACTTAGCTTCTCTCACAGCTTTCTTCGCTTCTTGCTTCGCTTTTCTATACCTTTCACCATTTTCATCAGTCCTATCCTTGTATAAGGCTTTACAACATTCCTTCTTAGCCTTCACCTTTGTTTGTACCTCCTCATTCCACCACCAAGATTCTTTTTGGTGTGGGGCAAAGCCCTTGGACTCTCCTGATACCTCTTTTGCTACTTTTCGGATACAACTAGCCATGGAATCCCACATTTGGCTAGCTTCCCCCTCTCTATCCCACACACACTGGGTGATTACTTTCTCTTTGAAAATGGCTTGTTTTTCTTCTTTTAGATTCCACCATCTAGTCCTTGGGCACTTCCAAGTCTTGTTCTTTTGTCTCACTATTTTGATATGTACATCCATCACCAACAAGCGATGTTGATTAGCCACGCTCTCTCCTGGTATAACTTTGCAATCCTTACAAGTTATACGATCCTCTTTCCTCATTAGAAGAAAATCTATTTGTGTTTTTGACGATCCACTCTTGTAGGTGATCACATGTTCTTCTCTCTTCTTAAAGAAGGTGTTGGCTAAGAAGAGATCATATGCCATTGCAAAATCCAAGATAGCTTCCCCATCCTCGTTTCTCTCCCCAAAACCATGGCCTCCATGAAAACCTCCATAGTTGCATGTCTCCCTGCCCACGTGTCCATTTAAATCTCCTCCTATAAATAACTTCTCCGTCTGAGCAATTCCTTGCACCAAGTCTCCAAGGTCTTCCCAAAATTTCTCCTTCGAACTCGTATCCAACCCTACTTGAGGTGCGTACGTACTAATCACATTGATAAGTTCTTGTCCTATTACAATCTTGATTGCCATGATTCTATCTCCTACCATCTTTACATCTACAACATCTTGTGTTAAGGTCTTGTCCACGATGATGCCAACACCGTTTCTCGTTCTATTTGTGCCCGAATACCAAAGTTTAAACCTTGAGTTTTCTAGATCCTTTGCCTTACTACCAACCCACTTAGTTTCTTGCAGGCACATAATATTTATCCTTCTCCTCACCATAACTTCCACTACTTCCATAGATTTTCCCATTAAGGTTCCTATATTCCACGTTCCTAAACGCATTTTGCTCTCTTGAACTCTACCCTTCTGTCCTAACTTCTTCACCCTCCCCCGTCTAATAGGATCAAAGTACTTCTTTTGTGTGTCCCGTGTAAAGTTGATAGGAGCATATGCTCCCAAACAACTTTGAGTGGAGTCGTTCGAAAAGAAGTTTCTATGGCCCCCTTGCTCATTTAACACTGCATCCGGGTGCCGATGGAGATACAGTCTCATTCTGTAAAACGAAAAAAACAAAAAAAACATGGACTAGACCTAATTAATCACACTTTAACAAAAAGTGAGAGTGAACCAACGCCAACAAAAAAAAATATTAATCAATTTACAAATAGATTATAAATACAGGGGCTTTGAAGCATTCACAAAACAAAAGTTTATTATAATATTATGGCGATTAAAGGTCGCTGCGTCACTAGCGATGGCAAACGTGTTATGACGACGGAGGAGTTGAAGAAATGGTTGAAGAAATTTGATGTCGACAGTGTTGTGCTTTGGCATGTTATCTCACCAACTTATAAACCCACAGTTGAACAATTTAAAATACAAGAAATAAAGACACCAAGAGAATTACGAGGTTCGGCAAAAACCTGCCTACGTCCTCCGAGAGATATTGCTCTTCACTATGAGAATAACTAGTACAAGATACACTTGAGTTAAATCGACATAACCCAAACCCCAATCCCTTGTACCCTCACAGAATTTTACTAAGAGACTCACTCTTCCCCAAGAGTTTCTCACTCTCACTCTATATTTTTCTACCACTTGTGTTCTCCTCTGGATGTTCCCACAATTCTCTCCCCCTCTCACTCGGCAAGCCCTACTTAACATGCAACCCCTTTCTTTCTTTACATTAAATTACAAAGAAAGCAAGCACACTTGCATAAAGAAAACCAAAGTTTACGGGGTCATGTTTCCAAAGTTCAAAAGCAAGCCTACTCTTGCTTTGTCCTTTGTAGCAACTTTAAATGATGACTACAAACACAATCATGATTGTCTTCCACAAAACATGCTCCTTACTTTGCCTTTTAATCATGCCCCAAAGCCACTCACGGGTTACCTTATTGTTGCTAGCTCAAAATATGAGCCAATCACAACAGACAGAGACGGTCGAATAAGCAAAAAAGAGCTCCGGGAGGCTATCCGCGCCACCGGGGCCCGGTTTGCCAGGTTCAAGAGCAGGCTCGGGGTGCGGTCTGCAGACGCCAATGGCAATGGCTTCGTTGATGAGGACGAACTCGACAACCTTGTAGAGTTTGCACAGAAGCATTTGGGTGTCAAGATCGTAAACTTCTGACTCTAACTAGTATATGTATCTAGTCTCTAATCTCTATGGCTTGGGTTAATTAATTGGAGAGAGAAAAATCAAATGTATTATTCTGTATGGTCCTGGTGGCACATTTAAGCATGGTGGCTCCTGATGTCAGCTTGTTCTCGTTCCTTTTACGAGTCCTATGTATATATACTTACATAACTGAATGTGATTGAATTGGACATTAAAATGCACGAGTTGTGTGGCATCATTTGTATTCTTCAGAGATTACTTGCCAATGCAGATGAGCCGGTTCCTTCCCGTATGCTTGCGTTCTCACAACGTCTAAAAGAATTGCAAGGGGCTTGTAGCTTAGTTGGTTACAAGCTTTTACTATCACTCGCATCCTTGCATACATATCTACCAATTTAAGATGGCATATGAAAACATAACAGTCTGCGTAATTACTGTTGTGCTAGGATAGCACCAAACCTTATAAAACAAACTCTTGATAACCCACAGGAAATATATCAAATGCAAATGCAAAAACAAAATATTAAAGACACCAAGATTTTAACGAGGTTCCTCAACAGTCAGTGTAACTGGAGTACGTCCTCGGAGCAGTAGGAGCTCACCCAAGAATCCACTATCAACCAAATGGGAGTTTACAAAGTGTTGGCAATCTCACAACCCAAATAACCCAATAGCTCTCACACACCACAGATACAAATAGAGAAAGAAATATAATGAATAATTTCTTCTCTATACATATAGCTCAAAACTATTACAACAACAATTACTTTGGTGGATAATTACTAACCAATTGAAGAGGAGCACTTTCTTCTTCCCTTCAAAGAGGAGATGCAGCACCCTTTATTTTCTGATGCTCTCTATCTCCCTCTCTTCAAAACCGAAAAATGGGCTGCTTCTCTTTCTCACAATTACTCCCAAAGGCAACCAACCTCACAATTATTAAGAACCAAAGTCACGGGTGGTAAAAGAGAAAAGCAACCCTTTTTTTCTTCCCCAAAACAAGGAAGTGGTTGTCCACCTTTTTTTCTTTATAATTTTTTATAGCCAAAAGTTGGCCACTTGGCCACATACTCCAACAATTACATATTATGTGATTAAGTACGTGCTTCTGGCAAAATGCTGAGTACGGATTAAGTGCAACAGAAAGAGCAAAACTAGATACTTGAATCCACATGAGAAATCAATTTACATTTGGAAACAAGAACTTTACAGTTAAATTATATGTGAATGTGAATGCCTATTTACCTATTCGACTTCCAAATAATACTTACAACTTGAAGTGGTCATGGAATGTACAGAAACAGACTACACAAAATTGGATTGAACAGAAGAAAAAAAGAAGAGAAAATGAAGCAGCAGCATGGAGGTGGGACTGATCCAACTCTTCCATATATTGTTTCAGGTCGCCGATAAATCACCCCGATCGGCAAAGCAGTCATTTAGTCAATAATTCCTAGCTACATACAACCGCACGACCTGTGAGATCTGTCACCAACATGTCTTGATGAATTAGCATTGTCATACTACAACAAAACATTCCACGCACAGACAGATTAGGCAAAAGAGAAATGAGGATTTTACCTCGACACTTCTAAACACGTGCATGGCAAAACTCATCCGTCTCCATATCTAGCGCAGGCGAGAAGATAAAGCAGTAAACTCTCTTCAACACCTCAAACATCAATATCGCGCGGTGGGAGTTTCCAGAAATTCCACGTATTAAAGTCCTCCTGTAATCAACAGGGAAAATAAATAAAAAAGCATGTTCAAATGATTAGTGGCNGCTCTTC